CGACAGACTAAATTTCAAACACTATTTGGGGTAAATGTTTGGTGAGGTATTGTACCATGAACATTTAACTTCATTTCGTTATTTACAATTTCTGCAAAACGATCTCACTTTACTGTTACAAAATTTGGGAATTGACGTAAATACTATGTGGTTTCATCAAGACGGTGCCCTAGCACACAATAGCAATATCGTTATGAATAATCTAAATGACGTTGTCAGGAAAAGTGATCAGCTCAAATGGGGATCTTAGATGGCCATCAAGGTCCCCTGACTTTTATTTATGGGGCGGCTTACAAAATGAAGTCTACAAGGAACCAATAGAAGACATGGCTGACCTGTACAACAAAATCTATGTTACTACAGCCATTATTAATCAAAATACACTATTGAAAGTTTGCAGAACCGAATTATTATATCGATTATATAAAAACGACAATAATTTTGAACACCTCATTCGACCTTATTAGTTAGTTTTTGGTATTGTTCTAATTTTCTTTAATAATTTTGTATAATTTCTCCAGTTCTTTCATATAATTTAAAACATCCTTTAATTTTATTTTGTTATGTTTTAATGTTTTACCTTTTTTTTAAACAGCAAAAAATATAGCGTATTAATAACACTGTGCTAGTCGCAAAAATCAACAGAGGGGAGACATATGTGGTAAAGTCAATTCGAGTACGCTGAATCCAGTGGTGACAGCCGTTTTTCGAAGTTAGCGAAAATAAGCGATTTTTTTCGATTGGCGGTTTTTAAAATGGATTATTTTTGAGGTCACTTTTTAGATGTTTTGATTTCATTCAAAATGTGTTTTTGGGGGTTTTTATGAAATATAAAGCAACAAAATTTGTTCAGTTGCCATTGCTGCACTCGGAAAATGTTCCTGTACAGAAAAGACCGAGTCCAACAGCTGTATGTATATCCACAATATCCGAAACAGTTGAAGGAGGAAGTAATTTTGACTATGTGCCAACTAATGTTAATCCTGATTGCGATCATACGTTAAATCTTTTAGCACCAAATGCTCGCGTTTATGGATTCATCGGCCGTCATCGCAATTTTACACGTTTTTTTAAAGCTATCGAAAATAATTCATTAGCTTATTGCGATGATATTCGTGGTTTGGTTTCCACCTTGCACAACGGTTACAACCCGGAAGATTGGAGACTCTTCATTGATTCATCCAAAAGTAGCTTAAAAGCCTTTCTACTCCACATTACAAATTCAAAAAAAATCCGTGCCACTAGCACTCAGTACAGATACAAAGGAAAACTATTTGTTATTGAACAAGATTCTCGATTTATTGAAGTATAATGAAAACAAATGTAAGATTTGCGCAGATTTAAAGGTTGTTTCTATTCTCTCTGATCTGCAATTGGGCTACACGAAAAACATGTGTTTTATGTGCTTATGGAACACGCGCTACCGTGGTGACCAGTATGAAAAACGCGATTGGATTACACGCGAAGAAGTAAGATTGCGCAGACATAACATTGTTGAGGTGCCACTTGTACAGGCCAAGAGAATTTTGTTGCCGCCATTGCACATCAAATTGGGTATCGTGAAAATTTGTATAAAAAAACTGGACCGTGAGGGCAATATATAATACCAATTTAATTGTAATAAATTTCTATCATGATTTTTTATGTATTACAGGGATTCTAAACGGTCCAGATATCCGCCGATTAATGCGAGACGAACAATTTGAAGCTGCGCTAAGTAATGTCGAGCTTGTAGCGTGGGACACTATAAAAGCCGTGATTAAAAACGTTCTTGGTGTTCATCGGGCGGAAAATTGGCAAGTTCATGTCCAAAACATGCTCGACGCATTTCACAATATGAATGTGAATATGTCTTTGAAGATTCACTTCCTTCATTGCCATATTGACAAATTTGCGGAACAGTCACCGAATGAATCGGACGAGCACGGCGAGAGGTTTTATCAAATAACAGCCAGATTGGAACATTGGTACAGTGGGAAGAAACTCGATGCACTTTTGGGAGATATTTGCTGGAATTTGCAAGAAGAACAGGATGATTAAAAAAAAATCTCAATAATTTTGTTCAACATTAAATTTGGTTTTTGTTTATGTTTTGTGTAAAAAAAAAACTTTTTGTTAGATAAATTCAGTAAAAGTTTAAAAAATGCCAATTTTGGTACATTTTTACAATTTTTTTACGGGAACTGCCTTAAATCGTAATTGTATGACAAAAATATTGTCATATTCGGTTTTATCATACCAAAAAACCCCCAAAAACACATTTTGAATGAAATCAAAACATCTAAAAAGTGACCTCAAAAATAATCCATTTTGAAAACCGCCAATCGAAAAAAATCGCTTATTTTCGCTAACTTCGAAAAACGGCCATCACCACTGGATTCAGCGTGCCCGAATTGACTTTATCACATATGCCTCCCCTCTGTTGAAAAAAAAACTTGTTATTTTCGTGCACAGTGTAATTGATAATAATTTTTGTTTTCCAAATGGTTTTATTTTTATTTCTCGAAAACCAAGCAAGATATGAAAACAATTTAACTGACAAAAAAGGATATTTTTAGTTGCTTATTCCGAAAAAAATATAAAAATTACCAGAAACTCAGTGGCGTATTATTTTTTGCCAATATTATTTGTTAAGGGGCCCCCTGAGGCGTCACTGGACGTAATAATTTTAATCTAGTTAGCGATACACTAGCGTTTTATCACTATAATTATGATTACCATATATCCAGAATTAAATGAACATCTGCTAAAGCATATTAAAAATTTTTATAATTAATATACTTGTTAAAATTATTTAAAAAAAAACTTAACCCCAAATATCTCCTTTCATGTTGGATTTATCAAAAATTTGTATGCAACATAATTTGATCAAAAATTAATTTAAAAATTCCTCTCATCGAAAAAATTCTTTGCACAGTGGCGCCTACATCTTGTATTAATCAAACAAATTTTTTACATAGTTGTGAAGCCAATCATAAAGGCTAAAAACTGGCGTTTAAAGAATTTAAATGTCACTTTTAGTTTTCGAAATAATTGGCCTGGGAGTTTTTATTGAAACACCCTGTATTAATTTACAAATTATAATATATCAGTATACAGTAGGGTGTTTTAAAATAAGGCAATATTTTTCTTTTTTCAAATTCTTGTCACTTATGCTGAAATAGTTATTTGTTTTACAAGGGTTGAAAAGCGACTTTTTCATGCGAGTTTTTAAGTTGCCCACGAGGCCGTTAGGCCGAGTGTGCATTAACACGAGCTTGAAGAAAGCTTTTCTCACAAGTATAACACAATGTTTTTTCTGCGACCCTTTTATTTTTTATTATTTTTAAATACAAAACAAACTAACCTAAAAACTTTTTTGACAGCTGAATGTCAAACGATGCTTTCCGGTTCTTTTCACACAGACCTGTCACTTTTCACACAGAGATGTCACTTTACATTCGTGTTTTGCCTTGCCAATGAAAAGATTAATTTTCTAAGCAACGATGCCATCATGAAAAGTGACTTTTACATAGTGGTCGTAGAAAAAAAAATCTGTCAAAGTTTGAGCTCTTAATATAAATTTTAAAAGGTCCATCATCGAATTTAAAGTTTTCCCATTGATTTAACATGGAAAAATAGTTTTTTAAGATTTATTTCGCCTGCATGCTATGTAAAACTTTTTTTTTATACTGGTCCTTTTTTAGCATTAAATTATCTACAAAAATTTTTTCAGAGTCCAGTCTGTAATATTAATTTTAAAAGGTCCATCACTGAATAATTATTTAAAATTTTGCCATTGATTTAACAGGGAAAAAATAGGTTTTTAAGATTTATTTCGCCTGCATACTGTAGAACTTTTTTTTTTAATAAACAATCACTGGTCCTTTTTTGGCATTAAATTATCTACAAAAAAGTCCAGTTTGTAGATTCAACTCTTTCTTTTATATTAACGTTGAAACGGATAAATTATAAAAAAATTGATATTTTTACATTTAGCGGCTAACGTACTAATCGTAGAAGAAAAAGTTAATTAGGAATTTTAAAGATCTGTTAATGCTATACAAATTTGTTTAAACAATTTTTGCAAAATTATCTCTAAACTTTTTTTCCTACAGTGAATATTATAATAATATATTATACATAATCATGAAAATGGGATTTTAGACACTTATAACTTTTAAACTGTAGGTGATAATAAAAAATTGAAATTGAAAAATACGAATTTCTAGAACATTAAACGATCTTCAAAATTGCTAATTGACTTTTTTTTCTACGATTTGTAGTTTAGTCGCTAAATGTAAAAATATCAATTATTTTTAGAATTTATACGTTTCAACGTTAATAAAAAAGAAACAGTTGAATCTACAGTCCAGACTCTATAAGATTTTTTGTAGATAATTTAATGCTAAAAAAGGACCAGTGATTGTTTATAAAAAAAATGTTGTACATAGTATGCAGGCGAAATAAATCTTAAAAAAATATTTTTCCTTGTTAAATCAATGGGGAAATTTTAAATTCGATGATGGACCTTTTAAAATTAATATTAAGAGCTTAAATTTTGACAGAATTTTTTTTTAGCATAAGTGACGAGAAATTTACATGAACTAGAAAAAAGAAAAATATTGCCTTATTTTGAAACACCCTAGTATATAGTGTGTTCCCGGATCGGATTTCCAATAGGAAAAACTTTTTAGACCTGATAGAGCCAAACTGAGTACGGATTTTGAATCTACGACCAAAAATAATGTTTACATGTCCGAGCGTTTAACTGTGATATTTCAAAAGTTAAAAATTTACCTACAGTGTAATTAAATTTTTTGTGGAGGTTTTTTTCAAAAATTATCAATTTTTGAAAAAAATATTTACAAAAAATGTAATTATTAATACGCCGTACCACGAAATATACATTAAATATTTAAAACCACTAATACATATAAAACCCGTGGAAACCTAAAGCAGAAAAACGACGCCCATTTAACTAACTCATTTACTTAATAAATAATAATAAACTCAAATAATTATCCATACCATTGTCGATAATTAACATAATTTAATCCCCTTGTCTTGGATAGTTTTCCAACTAACAATTTTTTTATGAAAATCTGATTTATAGATAGATTGACTTCCTTCGTAACGCCTAACCGTAAAACATAAACAACACAGCCGTTGTAGCATTTACAAATTGACGGGGTTATTTTATAAATTTAACTAGATCATATTAGAGTTATTGCATACAGATATCTTTCTTATATTTAATACATATTATTTTTAAATATTTATGTAACATTTATTAGTAATATGCATGTGATATTATTTTTATATATTAGATACATATACTTTTCAAGTATACATTAAATTTTTCACCTTCATGATTTGACATTTTAACTGTATTTGAACTTAAAAATTTTAAGATTTGCTATACTAAGGTACGATTAACCTTTCCTAAAATAAACAAAAAAATGTTGTATTTTTCATATATTTTTTAATTTAAATCAAAAATTACTTATTAATACTTTCTCTTACATGGGTATATTTATCTTGGTTCGCAATCAAGAAACAAATAAAAGCTGGCCAAAGTGAAAGAGACAAATAAAGAGGAAAATCACAATAAAGGAACATACCTACAGGGATAGCGAACGAGATTCCTGAAGTAAGCCGAAGGTTGTTAATTCCGATGACATGTCCGTCGAGATTGACGAGGGGTCCGCCAGAATTTCCGAACGTGATGGACGCGTCCGTCTGGATGTATTTCATCGAGTAGTTCTTCAAGCCCAACTCTTCGGATGGACGGTTCACATTGCTCACCTGTAATTTAAATTAAGGCTTTACAATGTTCTGCTCCAATTAAGCTGTAGAAAATCGGCTTCAGTTGAAGCGAAAAAAACTTAATTACTCTTTTACTAATTCCTTCTAAATTAAAAAAGAGTAAAAGATAATTTTATTGTTATTTTTAACGTAAAGAATACATAAATTTGACAACTCTCGTGTTCTCTATTATACTGTTAAGTAATATGTCGATTTAAAATCATAATTTTTTATTTTGCATTTAATTATCTTACTATAAATTTTCGATTTAATAAAAAGAATAAAAATAAACACTGGATTCCTGAATAAAAAATACTAGGCTTTTTTTATGAAGCTATGCTCTACATGTTTTTTTTTGGTGTAATAAACGTTTATTAAACATTATAATCGTTTATTTTAGGTTTTGGTATAAAATATAAACGTTTTTATTACACGTTTATTAAAAAAACGTTAATGAAACGTTGATTTTAATTTTTTTTTAACTGTTTGGGTATATATATATATATATTAGACTGGGCCAAAAAAATCAACTATTTTTTTTTAAACTATATAAAAATTATTGTGAAAGTTTGAGTCCATAATATTAATATTAAGAGGTCTATCATCGCAATTTTAATTTTTTTTCCCTCATCAAGATTTTGTCTTAGAAGTCCCAAACCATTGAGTTTAAGAAAATTTACTTAAAAATAAATAAATAAATAATAAATAAAGTTTTTATTGCATATTCAGTACAATACAGAACATATAATACAAAATATACAAAAGGCCATTGACCGGGGTCCTTCAGCCTTACTTAAAAATATTTTTTTAAGAAAATTAAATACTCTACAAAAAAGGTTAAATGAAATTTTTCGTCAGATAAACCGTTTCCTTAAAATCATGCCCTAAACATTGGTATAGTTTTACATTTTGATCTTTTAACTTTGGAATTTTGAAATTCATGTAAAAATCAGTACCCATAAAAAAACCGATAAATACTCTTATGTGAAATCAAATGCTTAAAAAAAAGCCTCTTAACATTTTTGGCTAAATTCACTCAATCAAAAGTTGAAGTCAAAACGAAATTCTTTCCAAATTTAACCTTGAATAACTTTTGATGGAGTGAATTTAGCCAAAAATGTTAAGAGGCTTTTTTTGTAAAGCATTTCATTTCACATAAGAATATTTATCGTTTTTTTATGGGTACTGATTCCAAAGTTAAAAGATCAAAATGTAAAACTATACCAATGTTTAGGGCATGATTTTAAAGAAACGGTTCATCTGACGAAAAATTTCATTTAACCTTTTTTGTAAAGCAATTAATTTTCTTAAAAAAACATGTTTAAGTAAATTTTGTTAAACTCAATGGTTTGGGAGTTCTGAGACAAAAACTTGGTGAGGGAAAAAAAATTAAAATTGCGATGATAGACCTCTTAATATTAATATTATGGACTCAAACTTTCACAATAATTTTTTTTTGACGCCCCAAACCATATACTTTTCAAAAAAAAAAATAGTTGATTTTTTATGGCCCAGTCTAATATATATTTAAAAAAACTTGATTTTTAACGAATTTATTAAACCATTTATAAACTTTTCCAGTGTATGTAATATGTATCGTTAAGATTAAAATGAACAAAACTATACGTACATTTTAAACGTTTATATTGTCTGAAATAAATTCGTGTGGTTAAACGCTTTCACTAAACCCAAAATAAATTCTTACAAATGTAGTTACGTCTCTGTAGCACAATAAATAGCCCTATAAGGGTGGAATGCCTTGAACCGCTAAGTAAGGATTCCTTACTAAGGCAAAATTACTGGTCATGGGGTCATTTCATATCAAATCAACCAAAATAAAAATAGGTTTGGCAGGTCACCTCTCCGATTTTGATAATTTTTGGTACAGTTATTCTATCCATAAATAGGATCAAAAATCCAAAATTTCAGATTTTTCGGACAAGTAGTTTTTTTTAAATTAATTTTTGAAAATCAAAAAAACTGTCAAATTCTCCTCAACATGCTCCCAGAAAAAATAGAATATCTCGAGAACTACTAACACTAGAATAGCGATATATAGCTTATTTTAAAGGTCTTGAAAATACCTTTCGAATGAGGTATATCATGACATACTTTTTATTTTTAAAAAAAAGTAACTTTTGAAAAAAAAAATTTTTTTGAAAATTTTCAAAAAAGTATAATTTAATTTTTTTCAAAAAAATATATTTTTTTTGTCAATATCTTAGCAACATGTTGGCAAAATTTCAGGGTGGAGAAATAATGGGTTCATAGTGAAAAAAATATTGAAAACTTATAAACATGCAAAATTCCAGCATAAGTGTTTTAATTTGTTATGAAAAACTTGTTTTTCGAAAACTGTCATTAAAAATTGACTTTTACATAATATTTATTAAGTGTCAAAACAACGGTTTTGTGTCAAAATTTTTTTTTAAGGTTTTTACATCCGTTGCTATTAGCAATGAATGTAAAAGTCTTTTACATCCCCCTAAAATATTTTTTGGATGACCCCTGTAAATGTAGATGACATACATGTCAAATAAAATAAATGTATTTGTCAATTTTTTCGTAATATTTTTATAAATTTTTAAGCTGTGGGATACAGTTTTCGAAAAAATGTTGTTTGATACTCGATTGCGAAATTCTTTTGCATTCTCGAATGATTTTTTTTGCTCGCTACGGCTCGCAAAAAAACTTTCATCCTCGACTGCAAAAGTGTCATTTCGCAATCTAGCATCAAAAATAACTATTTAGCGCTTACATACACTTTTACACCATCACAAAAAACCTTTTTGCAATTTCTATTAAAATGAACAACTCCCCCGCATCCTCCACCCCCTCCCCCTCTCCCACCCAATCCTAGACTACTTCACAAAGCGAATTGAAAGTTTAGATATTTTAAATTTTCTTCAGGCACAAACTTGTTGAAATCCCTAATTAAAATAACTTATTCCTCCCTTCTCCACCATTCTGGAGATAAGCCTGTAACTTGGTATATGATAAGTTATGGTGGTTAGCCTGTATCATTGGACATAATGAAGAATCTGATGAACTTAAAATCAGTTTTCTACATCCAAATGGACCGGCTAGTTCATTTTATTATCCGACACCCAGAGCAGACATTTTAGTAGTAGAAAGAAATGCAGTATTAAAGAGGGTTCAGCCTCTTACTTCTACCGGTCGAACCTACACGCTTACCAAAGATGAAATGTTGGATTCTTCAAAAATTTTAGAAAAAAGAAACTAAAGCTGAAATTATCTAATTTTTTTCCTTTATAATTTAGTTTTTGAGTTTTTTTATTCCTTTTATCAATATTTTATCAAAATAAATACCACTATATTGCATGCATTTTTATTGTTATTATTTTTTTTCACCTTGTTCCAATCATTTCTCCATCTTGAAATTTTGCCAATATGTTGCTAAAATATTGAGAAAAAAAAATATTTTTTTGAAAAAAATAAAAAAATACTTTTTTAAAAATTTTCAAAAAAATATTTTTTTTTTCAAAATTTTATATATTTTTTTCAATAAAAAGTATGTCATGAGATACCTCGTTCGAAAGGTATTTTCAAGACCTTTAAAATAAGCTATATATCGCTATTCTAGTATTAGTAGTTCTGGAGATATTCAATTTTTTCTTAGTACATGTTGAGGAGAATTTGACCGTTTTTTTGATTTTCAAAAATTAATTAAAAAAAAACTACTGGTCCGAAAAATCTGAAATTTTGGATTTTTGATCCTATTTATGGGTAGAATAACTGTACCAAAAATTATCAAAATCGGAGAGATGACCTGCCAAACCATTGGTTGATTTGATATGAAATGACCCCATGGAAACGCTTGGCTTACATGCACAAAGGCGCGTCTATTTGGAATTTTTGAAGGGGTACAGGTCGTCCTGTGGTCCTCTCTGCGAAAAGTAACCAGTGGGCTCCACTACTTACTTTTAGCCTTATGTTCTGTGCTTTTGGCAGAAGCTTTTTTATAAAATTTAACATTTTAACGTTTATTAAACATTTTATTAATTTAATCTATTGTTTTTTAAAAGCGTTTATAATTTGTCACAGATACAAGAATAAATTGTGTTTAATGTAAACGACTTGTAAATTATTCGTTAAAAAAACACTTCCAATATACCGTTCAATATATATGAAATTTCAACGTTTCCTAGAAACAGAAAACGTTATTTATACAAAAGTAATTGTTTTAAATTAAACGCACTGGTTAATTAACGAACTAAACTATTTATTTTATAACTTAATTACACTTAAAACACTATAAAACTATAAAAGTAACTAAACACTTAACTACTAATTATTTATATATCACTAGTAGTGAGAGTGAGAGTCTATTTATTTGCACTTATATTTATTTATTTCTTCGCGAGTACCAAAGCTCAACTGCCTGCTCCATGCAGCGCCGTTCCTTATATATTCAGTGCCTACGTTCCCGAATATTCCAGCGAGCTCCACAAAGCTCTAGATCGCTCGAGCGCTGAGTCACCGGCGATGTCTCATCGGCGATGAGTCATCATTCCGAGATCCAGAGCCGTACTTGCTACAATATCACCAATATGTGTTGCATGGGGTGTAAAGAATAACTTTCGAATACTAGAATCACGCGATATGGCGAATTATTTTAAGTATAAAAATTAATATTTTTTGACCTGTCAGTGCGCACTGCGCAATAATAAATAAACGCTCAGCTCAGCGCTGATCGTCAGGAAGCAAGCACAGTGTTTGATCATACGCGCTTTATGTTAAATAACTCATTTAACTATATGTTTCTTTAAATATTATAATTAAATTACATATTTATATTTATCAAAGAAACTTGAGAAATTACCTACCAGAATTCGAATTTAAAGAATTTAAACAAAGGAATCGATAAAATAATTTATGGCACGACGTTTTACTTCTTAATGTCATGTTTATTAAAGCTAAATATTAATTCAAGTTGCGTTTTTAAAAATTGACTGAACATTTTAAAGTTAAAATTTTATGATGTCTTGGTATATTAAGTACACAATTTTAAGCACAGAATAAGAATTAAAGTAATTTTAATTCTGGAACTGAATGGCGTATATTCTGACAAAAAAATTCGATGAATTAAAATTTGGGTTGAGATAATTTTAATAAGGCGCTACTTGAGAAACACGCAGTCAAATTGAACCAAAATTTTAATTCATCGAATTTCTTAGCCAGTTAATTCAAAGTGCGCGACATTTATTTAAGAAAAAGTAATACTGAAATTATCATTAGGTATGTCGCAATTATTTTCTATTATTACTCGTCGACATAAAAATCAATTTACCTGTTAGAAATTAAAGTGATAAAGTTTCTTATTCGACACACAAATATTTTGCACGAAGTATTTGTTTTAATATTTAAATGTTTTTAATATTACTGAAAATTTCAATACTAATAAGAATTCAATACAATTTTATTTTTATTGTTATTTTTAAAAATTTTAATATTTACTTTTAATACGAATTATTTTGTTGTTTAAAACACTTTGAAAGAATTTTTATACGGGAATAAAGTTGTGGTATAGTTGTTATTATTATGTTATTTAAATCTAGCAATACGAATTTTCATTTAAGAATCTTTCTGCCATATTTTTCTTAATCCGATTATTTTTTTAGATAATAAATTCAATGCTACTTGTATGTGACAAAATAATAATTCCTTATTTTTATTGTTTGGAATAAATATTATGTACCTCGAATTTTCTGACTGAAAAATTCGCTGAATTAAAATTTTGGTTAACAGAATTTTAATTTAGCGCTAGTGCATAGTGCGGTTGTGTTACGTACTACAGCCACCAAACGAAATCACATAATCTAGGGTACATAAGCTCGAAAATAAATTAGGCAACGGTGCATTCAAATTCAGTGCTGCCATTTTATTTACTTACCTCTTTTGCTTTCCTTAATTTCTTACCTAATTTATTAAAATAAAAATAAAGAAAATCCTTTTTACCAAAATGTTGGTTTTTATTGACTAAAACATAAAATACAATACAATATTTTGAATCCACCATTAATTACATTCATGTTAAGTTTGTGGATTATTTTCAATTACGTCCTATATTCTTTTTCTATGCTTATTAGTGTTCAGGTAGTCGGCTCTGACAATTCTGGTAATTATATAAATATCTTCTTCTGCGAGAAATCCTATTGCATAGACAACTAGCCAGCAGGGCATAGACAACTAGCCAGCAGGGCATAGACAACTAGCCAGCAGGGCAGTCTTGTTGAAATGCACCCCTTACATAATTTAATAATCATTATCATGTCGATATACATTTAATGTATTACATTATTGATAGCACTGATAATTTTGGACTGAACTGTTGCCTAATTTATTTTCGAGCTTATGTACCTTTGACGTTATGTGGTAATAATAATAATACTATTATTTCTATGTGGTTTCGCTTCGTGGCAGTATTACGTAACACAACCGCACTATGCACTAGCGCCAAATTAAAATTTTGTTTACGAGTGTTAACCTACATTTTAATACATCGAATTTTTCATCGAGAAAATTTGCCTTGCGCTTACAGATTTAAATCTTGTCTAATTTTTATTCCAAAATAAATATTCTACTTTAACTTAATTTTAAATTAATAAATGAAATATTATTATTTACATATAAGCACCTTTTTTAAATAGAAAAAAAATATTCATACAATAAAAACTGAGGCTTAAAAATATAGATCACACCAGAATGATGTAAATATATATGGAAACTTATCCAATAGACCAAAAAATAAATTGGTAGATTTTAATTTATAATTAAATTTAATTTAGTAATTTTTATGGACGTTTATATTTCCTAGGCAATTTTTAATTTTGATAATTTTTGGTTTGAGTTAATTTTTTGATGTCATTAAAAAGTAAAACGGCGTGACATAGTAATTTGTATTTCCTTCCGGTGTCCGTTTTTCGAGGCTACCCAAATATCAAAGAGTGCTATGCACGTATCGAGAATTTGTGCAAGCGCATTTATGTATGCAAAAAGCAATACTGAATGCTCGCCTTGCTGCGAGTTTACGATGTTGCATTCGTGAATGCAACTAAAAAGGTTAACTTAAATTTCTCTTCACAGATCATTCGTCGGCTTAAAATGAGCAACTTTTTCATAATTTAAACCAACTATCTCTAAAGATAAGCGAAAGGAAAAAAGGACTATATATTTAGATACTGAGCAATTAAGTTTAATTTAATAACCATAGACCCGCATGGGTCTATAAAGATCCCATTAATATTTTGGGCATTGAAGAATTTATTTTTAGAAAATAATGATTTAAATATATAGTGGACGAGGGGGTTCAAACAAAAAATGATACAAAAATGACCCGTTCTGAAATGCAAAATATCATTCGATGGATAAAATTAATTCCATCGATTCAAATTCTAAAAGATGTCAACTTGATATTAAAAACTAAAGTTTTTACTGAAAACTTTGTTTTTTATATTAGATTTAATTAAATTAAGCAATATGTTTTTTATAGTTCAATAAAATATAAGTATTTTCATTTTATACTTTTTAGGGCCACAACATTATCACAGTATAACAATTACTACTAGAAGTAAAACTATTTCATTTGGTGAAAATACAAATACTTAGATTGTCTGACATTGTAGGTAGAGGCAGGGACGGATCCACGGGGGGACATGTCTCCCCCAAAATGTTAAGCCGAATGTTTTTTTTTACTAAAAAATATTGATTTTTATACCAAAATCTTCAAACATCATTCAATTAAATGTATGGATATTTTTTCAATTGCAAATATTTTTTAATTTTGTTATTTTGGGAGGGGATCCAAAATACTTCTTTGAATCGAAATATTTTTTTCGGGTATTTTTAACTGTTTTATGTTAAGCATATTCGATTTTATACCGAGTCATTCCATGAAATTTCACCTAATGACAAAAGCTCGACATCAGATTTTACTAAAAGTTTTAGGGTTTGAAGATCAATGCTTAGGATGAACTAAAATAACAATAATATTTTTTTATTTAAACACCCTAAGAAATTGGGAAAGGCCATGTTGTTGGTTTGAATAAGATATTACCCAATCGGTTTGTAAGAAATCCTTTTATATCTTTTTTGTTTATTAATATTTTTTCCCGTAATATTTTGTTATAACCATAAAACAATGTACTTTTTAAATATATGCCTAAAATTATACAAATGTTTTTACAAGTGCAGTTTTTTTAGTGCTAAATTCACGTTTTATAAATTTGATTTTATTTAAATATCGATTAAAATATAAAATGAAATGTTATAAAAAAAGTATCCAAATTGCAGGAAATACCATTTTTATTAAAAAAAAATCTTATTTTTTGCAAAAAAATGCATTTTTTTGTCCAGAGGGACTGAACCAAAATCGTTCAAAATTTAACAGAATGTTTTCCTCAATATAAGCTAAAACTGCTAAGAAGATACAACGGTTTAAAATGCGACAAGACACTAAATTTATATATGATTTTTGTTTAAGAAGGCTTTTATAGAAAAGTCAAACCATATTTTTGACATTTAAAAAATATTTACATAGGTATTTTAAAATGTGCTCCGTTGGACAATTCCTGAATGAGAAGTGTCAAAAACTGATAAAATGTAATATTTTATTACAAAATATCGATGAACCTACACCGAAAAAAATAATGTAGTTGAGTTAACATTTGCCTAAATGTCATTTTTAAAAATGTTGTTTCAACAAAAAACCTATTGGATTAATCTATATTTTGGTGTTAAAGCAAAAGTCAGAGTTTGTCAAAGTTTATTTGTTCATTTGACAGTTTAAATATTAATTTAACATAAACTAATATTTTGAATTAAAATGTTTATCGTACTTTGATTTAATAGCTGGAATTTGTTGAATCAACTACTGAAGTTTTTAGGATTACCTAAAAAAACTATTAAATTAACGTTTAGTTGCTCTTTAATCCAAAACTTTAAATTTGTTCATTTAACAAATTTAAAATGTTACTTTAAAATTTAAAATGTAAAATTTGCATTCATAAAATTGCCGAGAATGGCGCTTCGAACACTCACGCCACGTCATTAGACAATGACGTTTTCTTACATCTCGCCTTACACTGAAAAAAATAAGCTGTTGAAACAACAAAAAAAATATTAATTCAACTCTTTATGCACTTTAAATACAAGCAATGGTTTTTGCACGTTTACTTAACCATCTAAAAATGTCAAATTGTATTGTTTAATTGAACAACAAATAACAGTCAAATGAACAAAATAAGAATATTTGTTCTAATCTGCTAATTTGGTTAATTTAACATTCTTAGGGTGTTAAGGTAAATTTCTTGAAATGTCCAGGTAACCTTTTTAGCATATTTACTTAACACCAATAAAATGTTAAATTAACATTCTAAAAATGTAAAATTCTTTAAAGGTTGGTATCCAAAACAAAATTATGGAAATAATATATTATTATATATAAATAGAAAGAATTGAACCTTCACCTCGCCCAGAGTTTTTGTTTTGAGCGTGTTCCACCCATGATACATCTTTGTATCATGTGTTCCACCTACTTCAAATACCGACAGACTGTTTCGCCCTGTATTGAGGGTCTTAACAGTGTCGGGCAATATGGTGTAGTGAAAGTTCTACTGTGGAACACACCTTAAACAAACAGATATCTCATCTTATATACACCTACATCTTATCTTATCTTATATACAATACAAGTTTTTGTATTATAAGTGATTATTTAAAACATAACTCTACTGTTATTTACACTTTTCTTAAATTTTGGCATATCACAAAAATGACTTTGGTTTGGAGGCAGAGTGGCATTTTTTTGCCTCACCGCCCGGAAAAGGATCCTGGAATAGGGGGAACCGTTAAGAGATTGGTTTCAAAAGCAAGCCTGCAAAGACCATATAAGGATAAAATTTTATCACCTTTAGATATGTTTTGCAATGAAAATATAAAAGGAATAATTTTTTTTAACCTAAAATAATAGAACAACAAAAATTAATAATTGTACTAAAAAATACTAGACGTTTTCATTCATTTGTGCCTAAAAATTTACAAATTATTCAGGTTCGAAGTACATCAAACCGTATTATAAATAAAAAAGAACAAAATATGCAGCTTTAAAAAAACAATAAATTATGTTAAATTTTATTAGGTTTACCCAAAAGGGAATGTTATTAAATTTAAATTAACTACCTTAATAGATTAATAGATAAATTTAAGATTCCATGTAGAAAAACAATATAAACGTTACCTTTAACATAGTTTTGTATTATAAATGCAGTAACTCGTTAATATTTAAAGCATTGTTCACGATAAAAATAAAAAAGTTCCGTGTTAAAAGTATTGCTGAAAGGCATAATACCAAAATTGTTCTTGTGTCAAATTAAATTAAAAGTGAATCTGATTGGTTAAAATCATTTAAAAGTAATAACATAGGCGATCCATCATAGCCCTCAATATCAGTGGCGGCTGGTAGATTTTGGGCACACCCATATCTCAGTTATTAGACATGGGACCCACATCAAATTTATATGAGTTTATAATGACATTATATAAACAAGTTCTGCGTAAGCAGAATTTAAATTGAAGTTTGCGAAAAAAAGTCCGTTTTTAAGTGTGCCCCCCCAGCCTCCTGCCTCCCCAAATTAAGATAATTCAAATTAAAGTGGTACAATATTTAATTCACTGAAGTTTATCGACAAATTTCAAATTTTATTAAAAAAATTCGAGAACTACAGGTTTTATACCATTTTAAATTTTTATTATTTCTTTTACTAAATTAAAAAAAAGAAATGGTATAAAATCTGTAATACTTCTGCGTAAGCAGAATTTAAATTGAAGTTTGCGAAAAAAAGTCCGTTTTTAAGTGTGCCCCCCCCAGCCTCCTGCCTCCCCAAATTAAGATAATTCAAATTAAAGTGGTACAATATTTAATTCACTGAAGTTTATCGACAAATTTCAAATTTTATTAAAAAAATTCAAGAACTACAGGTTTTATACCATTTTAAATTTTTATTATTTCTTTTACTAAATTAAAAAAAGAAATGGTATAAAATCTGTAATACTTAAATTTTTTTAATAAAATTTGAAATTTGTCGATAAACTTCAGTGAATTTTTTTTCGTTATTGACACGTCACCACGTTTCGAATCGAGGCGATTCAAACGAATAAAAAAGAACGAAGCCCTTAGGGGGCTTTAGAGCTAAACAAAGTTTAATAAAAATACTTTAAAATGAAGACATTATTTGAAAACCCCCAACATCAGGGGGGCCCTGGATTAAAATAATTCAAAAATTGAAAACAATGAATATGTTGATTTAACAGTTAATTTGCTTTTTTTAATAATGCAAATATTTCTATGAAACCCACAATAACTTGATAATATATTATATGTAAGTGAGTTCAAAATAATAATAATATTAATAATTTTCCTCCGAAAAGAAAAATAATTAATCTTTATTTCATAATAAGTTTCAACCCCTTAAAACTGTATGTACTGTAATTTTAAAATAAAGAATATGGTACCTTTATAAATTAAGTCAAGCTTAAAGGTCATAAAAGCATATCGCTTAGCAGTTTTCTTTTATTTTTCAATAGAGGCAATTAATTTCATTAATTTGTAATATTATTATTTATTACCAAAGCCCCGATTTCAAGGTATTATACTTATCGTTTAAATTACAAGAAAATATATCGCACATGGGCGACAACAGTGTCATACGTCAAAAAAACGGAATTTAGGGATTTTAGTGGAATAAGTGTAAAATTACTCATAGTTTATGCTGCAACAGTGGCATAAAGATATTTTTGAAATAAATCCCTAGATGGAGACTTGTGTCTGTCTGAAATTTGTATAATCCCTATCATAATTTTCATCAACAGTGTCATAAGTAAGTTGCCTATAAGTTGTGACAGTAATTTTGTTAGAGTAGATTAGTAAAATTAAAGTTGTCAACAATAAAATAATAAATAGGTATTGCTCCTCACCTTAAGTCACCGTCTTGATGCTCGAAGAGGTCGGATGCGTCAAGATCCCTCCTAAGTGGCGTATACGATACAAACGTAAAATACCAAAAACGAAACAAAGTATCCGGAAATGTCGGTGATCGTTAATGAATAATAAATAAATACATAAACAAAGCAAGAAGTGCGAAAATTGTGAGATAACGCCGTAAAAGTGTGCAAGTGAATAAGTGCCTAATTGAGGCTGGGCAGCAACGATAAGTCAACCGGCGCACCTGGATCGGAGCGTTCCAAAAATGTCCTTTTTCTATGCAAAAACCTACAGGAGAAGGCCACCCCGCGAAAGACAAAGCATCAGGTTTATAGCCTAATAATCAAGCTAAGTAATTCTTCTAATTGCATGTCTTACCGTATAATCGTTAAATGTTTATATAAGCATTTCACAATGTTGCAAAAAAATCTAAGAAATCTATTCGTCTTAAAAATTAAATTTAAAAAATAATAAGAACATGTCCGTAACTGTTAAATAAACAACCTAATTTTCTCATAGTAGACAAACGTAAACAACCAGCGTAAAAGGCGTAAGCAAATAAACCAATTCAAGCAAGAAGACAAAAATTTATCATAAATAAATTTAGGGTCACACTCATAAATCAAGCCAGGCTAATACACGGAACTCAAGAGGCCGCATTCCACTATATGCACTACAGGGCCGGCTCTATTTTGAAGATCGATATTTACATAAAGTGATTAATTAATTAATTAATAAATTAATTGATTGATTGATATGGATATAATCGTATTGGTATTGGTATTGTAGGGTGGTGACCCACCCTTAGTATTCTCTGAAAAATGTCACTTGTCTTGAAGAATTCTGTATTTATCTTACTTATATTTTTGTAATATTAAAATATCCCTAATTGAATATTATTATTTAATTACAATTTTAGGCTTTTAGTTATAGGCAACTGCTTGTACAGCTGTGTATTTTTGGTATTATAATCATTATTATTTTATAATAATGTAATAATTGTGTTTAGAAGATTATTGTGAATTATCTAGTTATCGTAAATAGGTTACTTATTTAATTAATATTTGAAGTAGTGCTGTTAATCCTTAAAAAGAATTGACAGAAACTTTTACGATGCGCATGCATAAAGAAGTTTCTACGGTTTTTGGACGAGTCCATTATTTGATGATGGTGGGAAGGAGGCTAGAAAAAAAAAAGGTTTTTCGATTGAAAGATGAGGGTGTTGGCTGTTGGTGACTACACACGTGAAGCGAATATTAATAAACAGAAAAACTTCTAAAAGAATATGGCAATCTTCGTACATTGTGGTTCTTTCATATTAGAAGAATATACAGGTTAGTCTGATATTATTTATAATACATATTTTGTTGTAAATGATTGATTTACATGTTTTAATTTCTACAACGGCTGCCATTACGCAATGCTTGTAGTCACGTACCTCAAACAAATGCCTATTTTTCTCAATTATTTATTATTTAGAAAAACATTGAATTAAAATTTGATTTATATTTTAAATACTATAATAAACATACGTTTACAAATATTACAAATTATTAGAATACATAATGTTAAACGTTATTATGAAATTATAAAATTACACACTTAAACTAAATTTGTATCAATATTACATTTAGTATTATTATTGTGATTGGTCCAGTTTTACAGTTTGATTAATATCTGTGTTTTCAATTGACTTATCGAGACAAGTGAAAAATAACACTATTTATTATTAGGGTTTAAGGTCCCTTGATTTATGTATATGATTTGACCATGCTCCTTGAAGATTAAATATAAAAAGTTACAACAAACAAATATATCGCCTAAATGGCACAATAATAAATATATCGCCTAAATGGCACAATAACAAATATATCGCCTAAATGGCACAATAATAAATATATCGCCTAAATGGCACAATAACAAATATATCGCCTAAATGGCACAATAATAAATATATCGCCTAAATGGCACAATAACAAATATATCGCCTTAAATGGCACAATAATAAATATGTCGCCTAAATGGCACAATAACAAATATATCGCCTAAATGGCACAATAACAAATATGTCGCCTAAATGGCAAACTAACAAATATGTCACTTAAGTGTCACAATTAAAAGTATATTACCTAAAGGGTAAATACAACAATATTCTTACCAAAATGGTTTACAAACTTGCCTAAATGGCTTTACACACAATAAGTTGTTAACACCGTCGTTATTTTTATCGACGAGGTTCAGGGTCTCAGTATATATTCTTGGTTCACCACTCTACCTGCACGTTATAATTGTAATGATTTTGACTACTATTATGTTTTGGATCAGGGTCTCCTTGGATTGACCATAATCCTAACCTCACTTTAACTAAGCGAATACGACACGGTATAATTGGAATGATTTTGAATACTATTATGTTTTGGATCAGGGTCTCCTTGGATTGACCATAATCCTAACCTTACTTTAACTACGCGAATACGACACGGTATAATTGGAATGATTTTGAATACTATTATGTTTTGGATCAGGGTCTCC